TCAAACCAGAGTGTCGACCGTCCGTGGGGGTGGGGGGGTCGTATTTGGGGGTGGAAAAGAGGGGGATCCTATTTCGCGAGGTGGCGTCAATGCAGTAAGGGGAATGATTTTTCATGCATGGAGAGCGATAGATCGTTGGCTGGGATTTTGCCCGTGCGTAAATAGGTGCCCCCCGCCCGCAGCCGCTCGAGTGGGCGGAGTTGGGCTGTGTCGACTGGTCTCAGAATCAAATACTATAGAATCGCCCCATGATGGCGATGGCAGGCGAGGGTGGTGGAGGATGGTCGTGAAGGGTTAACCTGAGGGGGGGGGTCGTATCGAGGCCCTCTAGAAGGGGGAGGGGGTCGTAAAATTTTCGAAATTGGTCCAACGTGACGGTTGACCCTGGCTCAAACACATCACAGGCAGTAGAGTGCGCCACGCGTTCCTAATTAAATGAGTTAGGAACCATGACCGATCATCTCGTTCGCTTTTATCCCCCATAATTACTCTGCGTATGAGGTAACCGCGCGGCTGAAGTTGTTGTTGATATTATCGTCAATAAATGAAAAAAATAATTTTACACATCCACCGTACCTCGTTCGTCCATCCTCCATGAGTTGTCCTTTGAGTTCAGATATGAGATCGTCATAGAGAGCATCTTTTCGAGTAGGCCGCAGTTCTTGTGCCTAAGAAAGCGAATTTGTAACTGTGGTGTGAGATTTTTCAAGCTATTGACCAAGCCAAAATCTTAATTTTGTTTTTTATTATCTGCAATTTTTTAATGAAAAAACTAACATTTGTACTGAAAAGTGTTAGAGAGAAGTGAAGAAGGAAGGTGGACACGAGAAGGGTCTGTGGCGAGAACATCGGTTGATGAGGTGAAGAAACGGAGCGGGCGGCCTCAGATGATTAGAGTGAGAATTATAATGAAAGTCAATATTATCACAAACACAGGTGCTATTTTATATTGCCTTCAGCGGAAATTGGAAATTACTTTTTTTGCTGTGGGCGTGATGTTGTTAGGGAGCGCTTTCACAGGAATACTATATGATATTGGAAAACATGAGCGTATTTCTAGAAAGGCGGAATCGTTTTTATTGACGTTGCCTCATCGTCGTTCAATTAAGCAAGAAAACTGTTGTAAACAAAAACACTCGAAAGAGAAATATTGTTCATTCTGCCGTCTTCTCAGGTGAAATTTTGTTATTCGTCAATGGCCGGGGTTGATCACGGAGCTTTAGTTGGCAAAGTAAAGGCGGAGTGGGCCGAAGAACTAGTCACAAAGTTGACAGATTAATTTATCATGCATGGGAACATGTAATAGATAGCGAAATAGGACCCAACCATAAGAGAAAGGAAAAGAATACGCGAAGAACGTATAAAACTAAAAGGTAGAATTATTCGCTAGCGGCCTACTCTAATAGGTGACTTCACGATTATAACCAATATAATTCAATTTGCTTGGAATTTTATTTAACACCGAAATTCTACTCGAGGAATCTTATCCATTCAATCGTTTTCTGCGCTAGGCCTAGTGCACACGTCTGAAAGAAGTTTGATGAAATTAAGACTTCATGTGAATGGTATGTTCAATAAACTGAAACTTTGTGGTGAGCAGTGTTTGAGGACTGGTAAGTGCTGGGTGGTTCGTAGATCCGGGTGTTGCGGGACTTAGGAGAGGCCGTAACAGGGTGCTGGGGGACGATCAGTGAAAGAGGGTCACTATATCCTCGTTAGACTAGCACTTTTCGACAGGTAAGTCTCGCCATCTGTGAACTGGGGCCGTAAGGTATGCTTCCCCGAAGGGTTAGGGGACGAAAGTTCCTTTAAATTTTCTCTGTAGTCCCAACTGGGATTGTCCTGATAAAGGGCCTACATCTAATATATGTGTGTAGCTTAAAGTAAGCATGCATTGAAAATAAAGAAACAGTATCGTTCAAAACAAAAAATTTAAAGGGACTTTCGTCCCCGCAACCATTCGGGGAAGCATACCTTACGGCCCCTGAGCATTACTTTCGTAATAATGTTCTGTGTGGACAGGTGGGTGTTCAGTCGTAGACTATTCCAAGAGTGCACGATGGCAATTTAATGATCTAGGTGTTGCTTTAATGGGCTTGATCTTTAATGGTGCCATAAAAGTTGTCTTACGCCTCCGCTTTGCCTGTCAACCCGTTGTGCGTGTGCTTGAGGGTTTTCAATTAGAAGGCTTGGACCGAGCTCGCAGAAGTTCGGTGTGAAGACGTGTTAGATCCGTCTTTATCGGAATTCCGGGAAGGACGGTCACCGTCGGCTTTGGAAAAGGTGTTTCTAGTCTTGAAGAGCGGTTTCAGTAAGCTGTTGCGGCAGGTACTATGTGTACAGTACCCTACCCTTTGCTTGGTTTGGCCTAGAATCTTACCATAGATGTCCCGGCGATTTCCTATGAAATGTCGAGCTCATCGCCGCTCTTCGCTTAGTATAAATATCGGGTAATGGCGTCTATTAGCGAGACGTTTCTATAGGCTGTAGATTGGAGAAGATGCGAAAACGTCCAGTTCATAACTATCTTGTTTGCTTCCGGGAAACGTGCCCAGATTTTGAGATGCGATCCATCGAACACGAACCTGCCTTGAACGTTAGAGTTCTAGATACCATTTAGTCGCTTATCCACGTATTTTTGTACAATTAGGTAAGGAAGGTGAATGGAGGTTTGATGAGGATTTGTAGAATGATATCAAGTATATCCTGTTTCCGAAAACCAGGTGCTCGTCGAGTGCAGACCACACAATATAGGACGACGCCTTACAAAATGTTTGCTGATAATGGAATTGAGGAATATGGAAGGATAAGCCTTTCCCTGATTACAGCTGCATTTACAACTAGCTGCTGACCGCTATGAATCACTACTTAACAAGTTTACTTGGAAGCCACGTTCATATATGTGTGCGTCGCCACAAACACACATTAGGTTTTCGTAAAGCATAGGGTGAACGATAGTGCAAGGGCGATAGAAGGGTGTTATTATGATTAGAGGTGCATCATTGTTACGAAGTTATTACGTATGATGTATTCCAAAACTAGGCAAGAATGCCTCTGAACTGTTCTGCTTTTGCTTCTTCTATTGCAGAGGAGCAGTTTTGTGTGCGAGTCGTCACACACTAGCCAACTCTGATAACGTGACATATCTAAACAAGCAAATAAATATACGAATAAACTCCAACTCCAAGCGGAAATAGAGAAACATAGTATTTGGGTAATAGTACCATTGAGCTAGCACATATAGTTTGTATCTCGTGGATCGGGTAGTTGTCAACAAGTTTTCCAAAGTGGTGAATATATCAGCTTTCTAGTAATTTGTTAGGCTTGATAAATAAGGTTTTCAGTAATTTCACAAGTGACCATTTGAAGAGAAACAGAACGAGTGATTCAGTTCGGGTACGGAATCTTCTATGTCGAAAGTGGAATATCCAAACGTTGTTGACCATGTAATATAGTTCTGTTCCAGAAAAATTGTGATATCGATATTGAACTAAATGAGCTGGACATGGGAATGAACAGGGCAGAGAACATGGACCGCGTTAATCGATCTCGCCGGCCTTTTGGGTACCGAAGAAACTGAAGAGGACTGCACAGAAAGAGAGGAGGATGTGGCAGAAGGTGAGATGTAGCTCCAAAACCTTTCTTTAGATCTTGAAAATGTTTCTTCACAGTTGGCTTGGGCCTAAAAGTGGTTTATGAGTAGTTAGTCAAGTACTCAAGCCGGAAATGGTATTGGTTAAAAGCTAATGGGATGAAAGGAAAATCGACGTGAGGATAACACGATCGTGCGGCTTGATATGCCATGTACGAAAATTCCTGATACTGTAAGAATTTCAGGCGTTAATTGCCCTTTTGGCGCATTTTTCTCTCCTAGATCCTATTGCAGAGCGATAGTATGTGATTTGCTTGCAGATTACTTAATATTTGATTCAGACATGAAACTAGTAAAACGGCACACTGACTCCATGTTTGTGTTGAGTGTTTCTGTGCGAGTTACGCGTTATGGCGTATTGGATCATTATAGACTATCCAGCAATATTCACAGCATGGCGAATCGCTCGAGAACGCAGTGCTGTCTTTGCGAAAAGTGAGGTTTATGTTGTGTGAAATTTTAATGAACGGGCGATGACCGCCAGACCACGCAGAATGGCCGGCTTGCCATCGAATGGTACCACTATCAAATCTCGAGTCATTTTGGTACCAGATTCGCCTAGTAAGGATAGATGAAAACTGTACCGCAAGTCATTGTGTGTGTGAAATCGCTTTCGAACTGCGACTACTGTGAATAGGAGTCGTGTGCATAGCGCATCCAGCGGAAAAATCGATTCAAAGCCGGATGGTCAATTAGTTTTTCTCATCATTATAGCTGCATTATGCCGATTAATAGAAGTGAGAACTGTTAACCTTAATGGTAGTTGTTTGAGAGCTATTTACTCGATCGCAGACATGTGAAATCAGGAAATTTAATTTGTTTGGCCAGTTTGTAAGAGGCTGAGCTCTAAGATATGTTTTCTATATTTGATTATAAAGAAGAACGGCTTATACAGAGCGAAATACCATTATAAGATTGAAGGTCGAAGAGTTGTTAACTTCAGTGGAAGACAGACGGGCCCCTGAAGGTGTGGATCGGCACGCGATTCACAACGAGAATATGCCTCAGCGATCCAGGAGCCGTTCACAGCGTTAACGTTAGCGTTGAGGAGGGCAGCACCGATGAGGGACGCACCAACGCGGAAATCCAAGGGCACGATCCCATTTCTCGGGTGCTATCCCGTTTGTCATGGTTTTTTTCTTCACTCCGTCACCGTTCATCACTTCTACCTGAGTGTCTAATGGGCTACTGTTCGCGTCGCTCTCCGGTGGAAATGCAGAGGGCAGAAGTGAAGAGATTCCTGTTAGAACAATGTGTTGCTTAGTAAATTTCTGAACGCCACCAGATAGGAGTTCGTTGATATCACCCAGTCTTATACTAAAGGAGACTAAAATCATGTCATTTTTAGTTGCTTCTGCACCAAGTGAAGGAAGCGCTTTCCATTTCTGTGCTAGTCGATGGATTGCGGGTAGATGATCGTACTCCATATTATTCGGAATTGTATCCGGAAAGGGTAATGCTGTGTGATACAAGTAATGTACTGCCGAGCCATGCGGAGATCAGAATAGTGAAGTACGTGAAACTGATTATTTTTAGCTTGGACTTTTTATTTTTCGAAAATTCGGATATTTCAGATTTTTGGGTGAAGACCCTAGCCGTGAATGCGATCTTCAGCTGAGTGTCATTGTACCGGAAACAATGAGGGTATACTATTTCACACTCATAGGGCATTAACCTAATCTATTTCTCGCAAAAAAAAATGTAGAGATACCGAAGCAGATAATTGGATTCTTTCCTGTAACGCTTTTGTACTATGCCAGTAAGCAAGGCATCAATCTGAATCGTTTAGGTATTTCTGTGGATTGTTGGATTTCTGGATGCAGTTCAATGAGTTGCAAGATCAAGTGGCTAAAAGCAAGCGGAGAAATGTTAGTATAGATTTTTTCATAGACTTTTTGTTAATGTAAATCTCTTCTTTTTTGATACATCAGAAACGAAAGAATAATTATTTTGACTCGTAGGCCGAATCAGGGGTACGGTCGTTTATGTTCTCGTCTTTTTTGTCGTTTTGGAAGGAAGGAGAAGATTGATTTTGAGAAATTACAAGGTTTGCTATATTTCTATGAAGTAGTGGCTTTGGACGACATGGTCGTGATATTCTTCCGCTCTATTGGTAGGGGTGCACTCTTCGGAAAGGGAAGGGTCCGAAATGGGAGAGAGAGTTAGTAAGAATCGAACGCGTGCGGTAGCGGCGCCTCTTGTACGCCAGTAAAAATCCAGCATCTATCCTACTTGCAACGCACACCGTACGCTTAGTTAAGTTATTGACTCTCTTGTTGGCTTGTTAGAGCGTTTTCATTGCTTTTGGACAATAGTATTCAATTAAGCGAATAGTTATCCTAGGTGATCGATGGTATACGCTCGAGAGTCGCTATAGATCTAAACGTGAAGTGTCCAACGAGTGCTGTATTCCCTCTGAATCAGTGCAGCGATCAACTGCTGGTCCTTGAGTCCGAAGGAATTCGGCTTAACAACAAGTTTAATCGAATGAGTGCTATGGAGAGCGAATTTCAGAAGAATTTCATTGAAAATGATTACGGATACGGTAGGTACTTTGTTTCTGTGTTGTTTGTTTTTTGTAATTTGTTGCAATCCCAGATCAAGTTGATGGTCGATAATGAATTTGTGAATTTCATACAACTGGAAATGAAAAGGGAAACAAGGCAAATCGCTGATGAAGTCCTTGAACAAGGATTCTCTCCTCCCTTAAAGGAGAGGCGTGTCAGACGAGTTGTCTGCACTTGCTTGCTCCATGTCTCCACTAATCCGCTTGTATCTAAATTAGCCCCTACGTCGCAATCACCGTTGCATGTTAAGGGATGCGCACGTGTGTCTCGTCCATTAGCTTGCATTGTAAGCCTAGCGCCATTGTCGCGCACTTTCGAGCCGTAGCAATGGCGCAGCTGCAGTACTCGCGGACTGCTCTGTCTTATTCACAGAATAGATTGTTTGACACGACCCCATCTGATGTGCTTCAACGGAGTGTTGATAATCAAATTGTGGTAGCTCTGAGTGTAGTGAAAATATTTTTCTCGAATCAGGATGACTTAAACTTAAAAAAATGGGAAATTATTTGTAGAAAATTACAAAAGCGCTAGAAAGTTGGCAGACTTGCCACTAACGTTTTTCGGGATATCGAGTTCCACTTACTCTCGGAAAAGTAACATGGAGATGAAAATAACAACCCTATTCATTAACAAATGATTTGTTTGAAATGTCGACCAATAAAGTGTTCCACCATAACAAACCTGGAAGGCTAAACAGAAGCAAGACATAATCGGAATGCCCAGGTTTCAAGAAGACCGGACATGGAACATACTATTTATTGAGACATTTATATTTAAAAATTTATTCCAGATCCAACGGTTGATTGTTTACTGGACTGCCTGAATATCATGCTCCCAAAGGTTCGAGTTTACGAAGGACGGAGATTCACGATGTCCAACAGGAAGGAAGATAAGGTGAATGATGTAGTGATCTTTGTAGTCAGAGAAGGTATCGTTACTTTGTTTGTAAAACTGGAAAATACTGTGCAATGGAAGTAGGATTAGATTAGATGTGCTGGGAAAGCTGTATAGTAAAGCGGCTTGATGGATTGATGGCACCTGCCTTGGTAAAAGTTATCAGCCATGTTTTCTCTTCTATATTAGACCGAGCTAACAGATTGTTACAGTTGTCAACAATGAAAAGC